AGTAAGGACGGACCAACAAAGCTTGAAGTGTATCATGGAGCAACGAGAAGTAAGTGGTGATTACCCAAAATGGATTCGGAAACTACTTGGGTTTGATTTCGAAATCCAATTCAAACCCGGGGTAAGCAATAGGGTAGCGGATGCTCTCTCAAGAAGAGGAGAGATGGCAGGGGAGTTGGGCGCTTTAGTATCAATGCAGGGAGTGAATTGGGACAAATTGGAAAGAGAGGTGAAATCCGACAAGGATTTGAGCAGAGTAATGGAGGGCGTGGCGACTGGGGAAGAGGGGTTTGCTGGGTTTTCTTTGGAAGATGGCAGACTCTTGTTCAAGGGTAAGGTGGTGCTTCCTAAATCATCCAAATTCATTCCCATGCTGCTTAAAGAGTATCATGACAGTGCAGTAGGTGGTCACCTGGGCGATACCAAAACTTATTTGAGGATAGCTTCGCAATGGTATTGGGTTGGGATGAGGAAGGATATTAGCAGCCATGGGAAGCAATGTGCAACTTGTGAGCAAGCGAAACACTCTCAATTACAGCCAGCTGGACTACTTCAACCATTACCAATTCCCGAAGCCATATGGGAGGACGTCTCAATGGATTTTATTGAAGGATTGCGGCGTTCGAGGGGGATTGATTCTGTTTTGGTAGTGGTTGATAGGTTGTCAAAGTATGTGCACTTCATTGGGTTGAAACATCCTTATAGTGCACTAACAGTTGCTGAGGTGTTTGTTAAGGAGACTGTGCGATTACATGGGTTCCCAACATCTATAGTATCGGATCGAGATTGTGTCTTTATGAGTAATTTTTGGAGAGAATTATTTAAGTTGCACGGCACAGACCTCAAGAGAAGTACTGCGTGCCATCCCCAAACTGATGGTCAGACAGAAAATGTGAACAAAACACTAGAGACATATTTGCTATGCTTTGTGAATGGGCGGCCTAAATCGTGGGGTAAGTGGTTACACTGGGCAGAATATGCTTATAACACCTCGCACCATGCTTCTACTGGGTTCACACCCTTTCGAGTGGTGTATGAGAGAGACCCCCCAAAGTTGATCAAGGTGGGCAGAGGCCAGACCCCTGTTGACAGCTTTGGAAGAGTGGCTGAATGAAAGAGATTGGGTGCTCGAGGATTTGCACATGAACCTAATTCGAGCTCAGCAAAGAATGAAGTTTAATGCTGATATGAAGAGGAGAGAGGAGGAATTTCAGCTAGGGGATTGGGTCTACTTGAAGCTTCAGTCATACCGGCAAAAGTCGCTTGCGAAGAGGCCCTATGAAAAGCTAGCCCCACGCTTCTATGGACCCTTCAAGGTGGTTCAATGCATTGGGAAGGTGGCCTATAAACTAGAGTTACCTGACACTTGCCACATTCACTCTGTTTTCCATGTGTCTCAACTTAGAGAGCACTCAGGAATCAAATGGCTAACCCAACCATTCCTAGTCAACTCTCAGAGGTGCTTTAGCTGGAGGTAGAACCCGAGAGTGTGCTAGAAGTCAGGGCATCTATGGGCAGACCAGAAGTACTTGAGGTGCTGATTAAATGGCAAGGATTGCCACCATTGGAGGCAACCTGGGAGGAAGCTGCAATGATTCAAGACCGATTCCCTTCCTTTCACCTTGAGGACAAGGTGGCTCTCATAGGGGGAGGAGATGTAACGAATGCCTCAAGCAAGCAGAAGAGGGACTTGATCACATACACAAGGAGTAAGAGAAGACAGGGAGAGCCGTCAAGGGTAGGAGTAGTGGAGCAGTATGAAAATCAGTGAGCAGCCAAGGCAGAGCTGCTATCATATCACATTAAGACAGCTGCAACCTTTTGTCTTTTGTCATTATCTTATTTTGGCTGTTTATGTACATATAAGAAAGGGGAGGGAGGAACTTGCTAGGTAGCTAGATTATTGGAGTCATTTGGGTAAGGAGAGTGGTGACCTCAAGTCACTAAGTGAGAGTGGTGGCCTCAAGCCTCCTTGTAAGAAAGTTTGAATCTTTATTAATGAAATAGCTGCCTTCTTCTCTAAATCAGTTTATCTCTTGCTTTTGTGTGAGTTTCTTTGCTTAGCTGCTCTAGTTCGTTACACTCTTCTCTTCCTTTACCTCCATTTCTCTCTATCCAAACATAGTGTTAAGCTATAGCTCATAGTTGGGAAGGCTGGCATGATTTGGTGAAGAGATTTTGAAGGTTGAAACAAAGTGATGTCATTCTCTATGGACGTATATGATGATTAGGAATATGTGAGAATCCATACGTTGTCAATGGTTTTCTGCAGTCAGTGAATAGATCATGCTGTCTAATGCTGCAGAAAGAGAGGGAAGTCATTGGTGGTTTGAGCACCTTTGTGCCACCTCTAATTACAATTATTCTGTGGCTACTCTAGTGCTTGTAAGTGACTTTTTTCTTATCTGGCACTGATGAATATGATAACTGAGAATTTAACATTTTATGGACGCTGCTTTTAAAATTAGTAATGACCTAGGTCCTCATTTATGTCCTGGATAATCACTAGGTCGAGTGCAGGGACTTTTTTAGTCAACTAAAGGGTAATAAGAATTAAGAAAGTGTGAGGCTGGCTACATCTTTGAATGAGAAAGTATACTGATAGCATGTAAGTTAAATTTTCCGTTGCTTAGAGGTGCTCAGTATCGATTGGTAGAGGAGCTACTTTCTGACCATGTTGTGTACAGAAAGCTGCATTGGTGCACAAAATACATGGCCTCTTACCACTATAATTTTTCTTCTCTCCATCTGCTACTCAGCTTCTCTCTTGCAACAATGTGCATTTTCTCCTATTGTTTTTGTTGGTTTGATTACTTTTGCTGCTTCCTATCTCCACTGAGGCGTGATATAGACTGGTATTCTGATTTGTATACTTTACTGATTAAGAGGAAATTTAAAGGAGAAAGCTTGGAAATTTGATTAAACAGATTAATGGTTTCTTACAAAAGGTAGTGGGTTTAGCCTACAAAGCTCATATTAGTGACTTGAAGTCACAACTCTCCAAATTGTGAGTTTAGGTCACAACTCTCTCAAGGATTCACTCCAAAATTCTGCCTACCTTCGTCTCTCCCCTCTCTCTATTTATACTAAGGCTAAAAACTACTAACTTAATAATACTAGACTTCCCAAATTGCCCTCCCAAGGTTAGTCTATTACAAGGTGGTTCCTTATTTGTGATAGCCAGCTCCTATTTCACAATTCCCCACCACAACTCCTAATAACAGACTAGCATATCACAACTGCTAGAGCTATCTGCCTATCTCCAAATTTTCTCTATCCTCAAAAGTTCCTCAAGAACCTAGCAAATTTTATTTAAGGCAGCTAATTTGTAAGTGGTGGTCAGGGTTACCTAATATGTAGCACGTTTCATTACGCATAACAGGTACGAAATTGCAATACGCTTGGTACGTAAATTCCAATACGTTTGGGTGGTTTTTGTAAATTAAACTTTTAGATCATAATATGCTAAGCAATAATGCTTAATTTGCTTATAGACTTTTTTAATTACTTGTTTATGTTTTTTATACTTTTGGTTCATGTAGCCGACCCCACTTATAGGATTAAGACTTTGATTGATTGTTTGTTTATGTTTATTAAGTGTTTTATTTGTTTATGAAGTACTTTTCTGATTGATCTTATATTTTAATGACGACGATTTTCCAAACAAGAGCTTTCTAAGATTAATATCCCATTTTCGTGAATGCCCTTCTTATAGCTCTCTGTAATTGAAGTATATGTCAGAGATTGTAGTGAATGTAAATTAGCTTATATGCCCATTTGTTCGTGAATTTATTCCTTTTCAAAGTGTGTACGTATATACTCTAATTTCTTTGTGGATGAACTATTGATCAGTTTAGCTAACACCTTTTGAGCCACCTTTGCCAAATTTGGACTTTATAACCTATGATACATGGACTCGTTTAGGAGAGTCGGGTATGGGTACAGATCCGAGTGTCCGGTACGGCATTTCCTAAAAATTAGGACATGGGGACCTTGTCCGGATTTTGCATGGGTACGGGTACGAGAAACATAATTTATAATATTTTTTTTTTGTGTAGGAAATCTAACAAAAATATAGTTAATTCATTCAAATAAAAAAAAAAAAGTTAAGCTATTTTTTTTAACTTTTAGATACATTGAGGGATAATACTCCATTTTATAAAAAGTTAACTGTTAAAAAAACCTAAAGAAATAAAACTGTCCACCTGTCCATTTTCATAAAATAAAAAAGAAATAAACAACAAAAAAAGAAAAATATTTTGAAGGATTAAAAAAAGTCAAATGAGCATAGGTCCCATACTCCATCTTTACTATTTTACTTTACACATCATCTGATTCATCTCTCTCCTCACCCACTTTTTAATGAGAAAATTCAAGTTTCTCTTTGAGATAAATTTGTAAATATATCTCCTCTCACAATATAATCTTTTTCTTTTATTTTTTAAATAATAAAAGTGAATTAGTATAGTGGCACAGAAATAAATGCATAAAGTTGTGGGAAGAGATGAATTGGAATGTTAATCTCTGGGTTTCGTCCTTTTTGATTTCAGTGGTCTTTCTTCATGTTTACCAAAAGTAGTTTTTTTTTGGGGGGGAAATTGTTCCCCTGAGGTTTAGAAAAGTGTACCGTGTACCCTTGAAAACCTATAAATGCCCCGTGTGGTTTGTAAAAAAATGCACTAAATACCCTAATCATCTAACAGTTAGTCCAGACCAACCAACGTGCTCTGTAAGTATGTGCTAGACATCAAACCTGGTGTCGGTTCACAAATGTTGAGTAACAGATAGGCTGTTCATTGTCTACTTGCCTGTATCTGCTTGTTTTGACTAATGTGACATCTGACATAGCATCACTGTGTGAGATTGATGCTAATAATTACTATTTTTTCTAAAAGACCTGCCTATAACTTGTGCTTTAATTTCATTAATCTCTGAATCTTGCCATTTTCATAGTTTCTAACATTCTATCGTAGTAATATTGTTACTAATTTACGTAGCAGGTATTTATGGAACGAACCAAAGCTGGTGAAAGAATTAGACAATGTGAAAGTTCAATCTGCATTTGCATCTGGTGTAATATCTGCTGCCATCGGTGATGATGGCTCTATATGGACATGGGGAAGGTCCAAGCGTGGGCAGCTTGGACATGGGAAAGGAATAACAGAGTCTCTTGTGCCATTTAAAGTCGAAGCACTCACTGGAGAACATATAACCAAGGTGGTCACTATCTAATGCCTCTAAGGTAGAATTGTAGTCTATATACTGCTAGTTGTGTTAGTTTTTTTTCCTTTTAAAATTAATTTTACATTAAACTTAACATTTCACTTGGCGATTCCTGTATCTGCTGCATTTTTTGGTCAATTTGTACCACATTCCAAACCTCCAGGGTACTTAACCTGATTTTGGCATACCCTTGTAGGTTTCACTTGGTTGGGGACATGTGCTTGCTCAAACAGTTGATGGAAAGTTGTTTGGCTGGGGTTATTCAGCAGATGGAAGACTAGGAAGATTGGGAGAGACAGTCAAAGCTTCGCCCTTAGATTCAAGTGCAGAATTACCTGGAAGGCATGAGATGACCTCCTCTGAAGCCCTAGATGTTGCTGAGAAACATGTCTTGGAAAGCATGGAGAAGGAAAAGGACATGCCAATTGTGTGGGAACCACATTTATTAGAAGAACTACATTCCATTCCAGTGACTGATATATCTTGTGGCCTTGATCACTCCTTACTCATCTGCCGTAAGCGATTTATACAAATTTCATTTCTATCCTTTTGATGGTTACTTCTTCGGAATTTGCCTAAGTTAATATAAAATTCCAACAGGTGATAACACCATGCTAAGCGGGGGCAGTAACATCTATGGTCAGTTAGGCAGAGAAAATCAAGGCCTTGGGTTTTTTCCAGTTGATATCAGCTTCCGCCCACTGTCAGTCGCATGTGGGCTAGGACATTCCCTTGCAATCTGTGAAATGCCTGCATCAGAGGATGACAATGATTTCAGGAAAGCTGTATATTCTTGGGGATGGAATGGGAGTTCTCAGCTTGGAAGGCCAGGCCATGAAAGCAAACCATTAGCAGTGGAAAGTTTGGCCGAGGAGATTCCTGCAGCTGTTTCTTGTGGCCGTGTGCATTCACTTGCTGTCACTGGCAATGGGCAGTTGTGGGTTTGGGGTTGCGGTAAAAATGGGAGGCTTGGCTTAGGCAGCTCATTTGATGAATCAGAGCCAGCCTTAGTTGATATTGAGCAGTACAAAGTTGTTCAAGCTGTAGCTGGGTTTGATCACACACTGCTCTTGGTTGCTGAATCATGAGCTAATATGCAGGCTTTGGCATTTTGTTTTGATTTCAGGAACTATACAGAGGCTTGAATCGATTTGCTTCTTGGAGAAATATCTTGGTTAGCAATAGCAAGATCAACCTCCCCTTCTCCTGACAGTCTTCCTAAGCTGAGCCACACTTTCTCAACTGTTACTGTCGCCTTGTCCTGCTTATACAGAGCCAATAGATACATCATCGTCTGCTCTAAGCATCAATCTTGAAGATTTAAGCTTGAACACATATTTTCTTGAAGGAGAATTTGCACTTAAATGATATTGTGACTAGAAGGATGAAAATAGCCTAGAACATTCTCCTACAAAGGTTTCTGATGCAAGGTTAAAGTTGATACTTGATTTTTAATTTTTTTTTTCATTTAAAGTATTCCTTTTCATTGTCAATGAGAACAAACACTTCTATAAAATTCCTTTTTGATTTCCTGAAATAATGCTCAAACTAGAATCATTTTAGCAGGGCATGAAAAACAATTTGAAGTGATGATTTATGCAGGTAGGGATGGCAAAGGAGGTGGGTATGATATCATATCTCCCATACCCACCTTAAATTTCTATACCGCACCCATGATTGGTACATATCAAATATCCCCACCCGCCTAAATGAGTATAAACCTCAATCCACACCCGCTCTATTCTCCATATGGATAGTATTGCTTATCGATTACCTACCTATACCCGGCTATTATTTGCCTATTGGAGTCATTATTCCTTCATTCCTTATGTTGTTGTATAAGTAAGATTTATGGAAATGCATGATGTATACAAATGTTACTTTTAATAGACACAAGTATTCATTATTATTTATTTATTTATTTTGACAAAGGAGTATTCAACATTATTACTTCCATTAGATTCAATAAATAGAACTTGTCTTAGAGCATGCACAATGATAGGGATTCACCCTCCTCTTAGCCTTCTCTCTCCTCTTAAGAGGAATCCCCTTGATTGTAGAGTTGAAATGGTGAATCCTCTTAGGAAGAGGAAGATGGTGAATGCTCCCTGGGAAGAGGAAGAAGAGATGGCGAAGGGGATTGGAAAAGGTGGGGAAAAAAAAAAAGTTAAAAGAAAAGGTTGGACCAACAAGTGCAACGTGGCAGCTTCCTACTGGCGGGCCGGGCTCGCAGGGGCCCACGTGTTGCTTGCTTTTGCTGACATTTGTTGTTTTCTTATTGGTTGACATTTACAACGGTTATAATTATTCAAACGGTAATAAAAAAAAACGGTAACTTATTTTTTTAAAAAAAAAAACACCAACGGTTATATATATATTTTTTTTCTATAAAATGAACCTAAATTTGCCATATTTTCAAAATCTTCATTTTCTCCATATTTTCTCTCCTTTTCCTATTAATCTCACTCATATTCAATTAAAGTCATAATATTTTATCTTTCAATATGGATCGAAATAATCCAAATTTAAGAAGAAATTTGAATTTTCAAAATATTCCAAACTCTCAAAATAATTCAAATAATCCTCCTTTTGATCCAAATATCCTCAATAATCCTCAATTTCAAGCTGCCTTACAATGGTTCGGTAATCAACCAAGACCAATGAATCCAAATGATACAACCCAATATCACCAACATTTTTCTCAAGATAGTCCATTATTTCCCATGTCTCAACATTTTACCCAACCTATGGACCATTCTCCGAGAGGAGATGGTAGAACGAACGCAACTCCAACTGAAGAGGTACGAGAAGCGCAACATCTAGAGGATCTTGATGATGTTGTCGTTGAAGTTTCTCCTGGAGAGACTATGCCGAGGAATTCATGGACTGTAGCAGAGGATAACGCACTTGTTTCGGCTTACATCAACGCCGGGGGAAATGTTACAAAAAATACAAAAAGGACTAAGGCTGGATTTTGGGTTGCAGCTGGTAAATTGTACGAACAAGCACGACTTGCAAATCCTGATGAGCTCCAGAAGAGGAGGAATACTAAGTCCTTACAACAACGTTGGGATCACATTAATTCGAATGTGAACAAGTGGGTAGAGGTATACAGTTACGAGATACGACATCCGAAGAGTGGACAATCAGTGCAGATGTTGAAAAACGTGCACATAATGCTTTTGCAATGGCGAACAAAGGTAAACATTTCCATTTGCAACATTGTTTTGAAGTTATGCAAAATTTTCCAAAATGGGATCCGAATGAGGTCATGCAATTACCTGCTGAAAGCGGAGGAAGTGGAAAACGATCTGAACCAGAATCACCAACTGTTGAAGGTGGAAAACCACGAACTCGACCAGATGGCATAAAAAAGACGAAGAGACTAGCAATGGAATCTGGTTCTTCGTCTTCATCTATAAACCTTGATTCGTTCAATACAACTCTTGAAGAATGTAGTGACAAGAGGTATGACCAAGGAGAACGAATGATTGACTTAATACGAGAGCTAGGTGAAGAAAGGAAAAGGCAAAAGGAAGAGGAGATGAAGTTCAAAATGTTAAATATGTTGATGATGAAACCTAACCTTGATGAATTTGAGGTAAAAATGTACAAGAAGCTTAGAGAGGAATTTAGTAATAGGTTCTTATGAAGTTGTTCTTCTTATATGTTATTTTAATGATTTATTTATTTCATGTTTTTAATGTATTAGTTTTTTTTTTTTAATGTTTTATTTATTTCAGAATTTATTTTAATTTTTTTAATGTATTAATTTTTATTTTTTAATGTTTTTAATATATTATATTTCAGAATTTATTTTTAATTTTTTTAATGTATTAGTTTTTTTTAATGTTTTTAATTAATGTTTAATCATATTGTAATAGTTATTATTATAATTACTATTATTATGACTGTTGTTATTATTATTATTATTATTATTATTATTATTATTATTATTATTATTATTATTATTAATTTGTTATTATTATTATTAGTAGTGGTAAAAAAAGAAAAACAAAATTCAGTGTGTAGTCACTTCATGCATTAATACATCTACTTCATATGTCAACTTTTCTGTAAAGCCATACATATCTCTGCAAAGCTATAGATTATTGTCATGCAAAAATCTAATCTTCTGACATCTCATAATTCAAATTTTGAAATGTGTTACCAAAATATTCTCTTGCATTATTACTTAGTTCATGTGGATCAAATTGTCTATATATTGACCAGTTTCATTCACATATAATTCTATCATTGTCATACAAATATTAACATTCAGTTTTACACAAATATTATCAAAAAATCGTAAATGAATTTTGATTCTAGTTCTTCTACTTCTAGTGATGAAATATACGATTCCATGTTGTTAGATTTTATTGAGGAAAATCGACAACAAGTGATAGAGGATACAGTAAGATATGTTGTTAACACCGATGTACAAGAACAAGAAGTTCATGGTTCACGACGTGAAAAAATGTCAAGGTGGATCGTTCCAAAAGATCGTGAAGGAGCACATGATCGGTTAGTTACAGACTACTTTAGTGACCATCCATTATACGGCGATGAAAAGTTTCGACGTAGGTTTCGTATGCGAAAACCTCTATTCATGAAGATAGTGAATACGTTGAGTGCAACTGATAGATTTTTTCAACAACATCCAGATGCCACAATGCGACTGGGTGCTTCTGGAATTTAAAAAATGCACTGCAGCAATGAGAATGTTAGCATATGGTTGCCCAGCTGATCAAATTGATGAGTATCTAAAACTTGGGGCAAGTACGATAAGAGAATGTCTTATACACTTTGTTGATGGAGTGATTCGTGAATTCTCAACAGAATACCTGCGGAAGCCAAAAGCCGAAGATCTTGATCGTCTCCTTAAACAAGGGGAAGAAAGGGGTTTTCCTGACATGATGGGGAACATCGATTGCATGCACTGAGAGTGGAAAAATTGTCCAGCTGGGTGGAAAGGAATGTATCAAGGAAGATCTTAAAAGGGCGACGGTGATCTTAGAAGCTGTTGTTTCTTGGGATTTATGGATTTGGCATGCCTTTTTTGGCACACCAGGGACGTGCAGTGCAACGATATAAACGTTCTTCAACGTTCTCCGGTCTTTGACGATATATTAAATGGTCGAGCTCCACAAGTTAATTTCACCGTGAATGGAAATACCTATAACCAAGGATATTATCTCACAGATGGGATTTATTCAAAATGGGCAACATTTATTTCCTCTATTACCTCCCCACAAACCCCTAAACAGAACTTGTTTACAATCAAACAAGAGAGTATTAGAAAAGATGTTGAGCGTGCTTTTGGTGTGCTACAAGCTCGATTTGCAATAATTAGACATCTGGCTTTGGCATGGAGTGTCGAAATGCTATGGATAATCGTGATGGCGTGTATTATCATGCAAAATATGATTGTAGAAGATGAGCGCGATAATTACATGAATTATTGGGATCCAATGGAATTTTCCACCGAACAACCTGAGAATCTAGTAGGATCATCAAGGAGAAGAGCAACTACTTTCACCGTTACCCCTGGGCGTTATAAAGATCAAAATTTAGCTACAATAATGGCTACACGAGAAAATCTTCGTGATAAACAAATTAATACATCTTTGAAGAATGATTTGCCGGAACATATATGGGCTAGGTTTGGGAGCGCTTTTGTCAACTCACCTTAAAAATAAAACGTATTTATGATTTAGTTTCTCGTTTTTCAATTATCGGCTTTTAATGTATTTTTATGTTTCCGAATTTCATGAATTGTCTTTTTACATAATGTATTGCAATGTTCCTTTTTAACTATTTATTATATGTGTGAGGACCGTTATATTTACTAATTATGCATTTTAAATTATCATTAATTGTACATTTTTGTAATATATTAAAATTGTCATTAATCTAATTACAATAATTTGTCATATTAATTTTGCAAATATCTAATTTAATAGAAGATGGAGGGGCATAAATAGAAAGGAAGGGGATTCATGAATCCCCTTTGTTGTGGGAAAAAATAAAGAAAGAGGAAGAGGAAGAGGATGGAGATAGTGGAAAATGATGTGGAAGAAAGAGAAATGATGTGTCAAAAGGAGAGAATGAGAGAGAAGAATTAAGGGGATTCATGAATCCCCACCATTGTGCATGCTCTTATACGAAGAATATTTTTACCTCTATATATTATTCATAGAACACTTTTCATTTTTGTCTATTCTATAATCTATATTAATTGCAATACATTTAAATTGACAATAAATCTTTGTAGATATACCTTTTATGTTTTTCGTATTGTTAGACCTATCAAAATTTAGTTATTGTTCTTTTAATCTATTTACACCCAAAAACTTAATGACCCTACTCCACATTATATCAAATATATTATTATAAGATTAACAACCAACAATTAAATACAAAGTTTGCACCAACATAAAACCTTTTAAATACGAAGCCAATGAAAGGCAAGTAGGAGCTTAATGGTAGAGCTCAAACTTGAGCTAACAATGGGTTGAGATTCTCTACGCAACCTAATATAATAAATAAAAGAGTTGACATAAAGGTTTACCCTTTAATTTTTTTTTTATCTAGTACAAAACTGTTATATGATTTAAGAGTATTGGAGACAAATTCATGTTTGCTTATCTTAATTAGCTAGGTTAAGGTGTGCAAATTAAGGAAGCAAAGTTTAGAGCAAACAAACCAAGGGAGATGATGCCATTTGATTAGCGGTTGAGATGATGTCATTTGATTAGCGGTTATTTTCTTTGTCATGTAATTTCTGGGTTGATGCCGTTTGATTCAAGCGGTTATTTTCTTTGTTCAGTGGGTTTTTTGCTCCTAGATATATGCATCT